GGGGGGGCAGAGCAGTGCCCATGTGTTCAGCGCCTACTGACGGAGGCATTTCCTGGGCACTAATGTCCTTCAGCTGAGGCTAGTTCTTCATCCCCGTCACATGGTCACAGAAGGAGCCTTGTTCTTGCTAGGGAGGTTGTGATGCAGCAAAGCACTTAAAGATAAGCATCCCCTTGAGCGCTTTGCTGAGCTGTGGACGGGGGATTTTCCAGCAGTGCCCATGTGTTCAGCGCCTACTGACGGAGGCATTTCCTGGGCACTAATGTCCTTCAGCTGAGGCTAGTTCTTCATCCCCGTCACATGGTCACAGAAGGAGCCTTGTTCTTGCTAGGGAGGTTGTGATGCAGCAAAGCACTTAAAGATAAGCATCCCCTTGAGCGCTTTGCTGAGCTGTGGACGGGGGATTTTCCTCGCCTGCGTTCTGTTTGGGGGTGTTAATAACATCCCAGCTCGGGAGACTGTCACACAGTGGCATGCAATGATGGCGAAAGCTGCCTCCGCCCATTCCTCCCAGCCGGGCTAGTGCAGATGTCTTCCCTCTCCTTGCTGCAGGTTCCCTTTGGAGGTATGTCCGTTCCAGCATGTCTCTGTCTGGGTACATGCCCCCTCTCTGTGACCCAAAGGATGGGCATCTCCTGATGGACGGAGGTTATATCAACAACCTTCCAGGTACGTGTGTAGACAGCTGCTTGCAGTTCACCGAGACAGCTTGTAAAACTCCATTGGCACAGCCTCATGTCGGTGTGGTTGCCTTCCCGAACCACGCCGTTCTGGTCTCATGGAGGCCAGAAGGGCAGCATTGGCCTCTGGGCATGGGGCCTCTGCTGAGTCATACGAGCTTCTGCCCGAGTGAATGTGTTAGTCTCTCTGTGCCACAGGGCTCCTTGCTTTTGCTGAAACACTCACCTTCCAAAGCCATGTCAGGCTATTTATTGGAACCTACGTTCGTGTGTGTTTTAACAAGAGGAGCCAAGGAACAAAACTATAACAAATGGTCTGTCCTCCTCCTTGAGTCCGCTGAAAGAACAGTGTGAATACGACCCGATTCTGAATGTGAAATGGTCACTGCTCAGAGGGTCTAAAGGGCCAAAGTGCCTTAGTGTCATAACTGATTAGGCTGGCGAGGATCGAGATCATAGTGAGGAGACAGTGTTGGTGCTGGGGACGTCCGTCTCCTGGCAAAGCGTTTCTGGATGTCGGCTGGAGGCTGAGTCCTGTCCTGTTCTGTGCTTGTGGAGTGTGTCCTTGGGAATCAGTGTCCCTGTGCCTGCTGGCCAGCTCCAGGCTGCAGAAGAGGGTGCTGGGTAACGAGGCTGTGGCTTTGCTCCCAACAGCGGATGTTGCACGGTCCATGGGCGCCAAAGTGGTGATTGCAATTGATGTGGGCAGCCGGGATGAGACGGATCTGACCAACTACGGCGACGCGCTGTCCGGCTGGTGGCTGCTGTGGAAGAGGTGGAACCCCCTCGCTGAGAGAGTGAAGGTACCGTGCGTGTGTGTGGCAGAAGCAGACGGGAGCGGCCCCGTGGTGGTCTGAGAAACCAGCCGGGAATCAGTTGCTCTGTCACCTGTGTTGTGCGGCGCCGGGCGACGTTGGGGAGTGGGCAGGTTGGGCAGGGTCCCAGCATGAAGAAAACGCTGTCGAGAGAATTCAGTTGTCGGAGTCTGGGGGGCGCTAAGTGTGGCGCTCGCCCCACTCTCCCCTGCATCAGCGTCTGCCCCTAGACCACCCAGCTGGCTCCATGCTCCTCCTCCCTGTCCCCAGTTGATCCCCTCTGGGTGCCAGCAGGTCCTGGAATTCGACACCAGGATCTGCTGGAGCAGCAGCAGCGTCGCCTTTGCTCCACGGAGCCGGTCTCAGCCGTTGGCAGGCCAAAGCCTGCAGTGCTTCTGACGGGCTCTGGGCTGCTTGGCAGGTGCTGAACATGGCAGAGATCCAGACCCGGCTTGCCTACGTGTGCTGTGTCCGGCAGCTGGAGATGGTGAAGAACAGCGACTACTGCGAGTACATCCGGCCGCCCATCGACCGCTATCGCACTCTGGACTTCGGGAAGTTTGATGAAATCTGCGTAAGTGAACCTTGTGGGTCTGGGGCCCCGACGTGCCGATTGCCCCGGGACCCCACCGCAACACAAGCCGGCTGCTCCAAGGCGCTCTCCTGAGGAGCCTGGCCTCACGTCTCAGATTTCTTACTGCTTAGCTCTCTGTAGCCTTGGAGCTGAGCTAGGTCCTGCTGATTATGCCAGGCGGGGGGGCTCTGGGTAGGAACCCGAACAGAATCTTTTCCGTTGATTGTGGAATGCCCCGGAGGCGGTTGCAGCTTCCTCGGTTGAAAGCTGAGCTGCTCTGTTCAGTACAAGGGGCAGGGAAGCAGCCTGGCATCGTGTCGTCTCCCCGACTGGGTGAGAACTGCGCACAAGGTCCGAGGGTTTGCAGGAGCCGCTCAGGCACAGCAAGCTGGAGGGGGGACTGTCTGGGGCACAGTTCACATTCCAACACTTCTATTAATATTGTGGGCCATCTGCACTTCCTTTGCGCCTGATATAGCGGCAGAAGAACAAACCCAATGTCAGTGGAAGGACGTGATTGATGAAGGGAAGGGGTCAGGTTCACAAGTCTTGGGGGGGTAGTTCTGCCTATTCATGGGGATCCTAACCCAGCATGCGAATTATTGACACCAGATGTGCAGCTGATACTTTGGCTCTTTGTGCGGGGTAAAGGCTTCTGTCCTTCCCGGGGGCCTGGTGTTTAGTAGCTCAGGTCCCTGTAGAGGAGCTGCCCTGTTGTCGCGTTTTGCTCCATTCTCCACGTGTTTGCTCATGTGCGTGTTCGGCCCTGCAGTCCATCAGGTTGTGAAGGGCGGGAGCCTGGGCCTGAGCATCAGCAGCATCCTGCTTCCTACCCGTGCTCAGTGCCTGGCACTCGCGTTGATCCCTCGAGCCCTCGTTCTTTGGGGAAGAACCATTCAGGGCCAAGTGAGCAATTTAAAGCTACAGGTTGAACCGTCCAGTCCGGCAACATCCGTGGCCCGGCATGATGTTAAGTTGCTGGAGAGCCGCCTACCATGGGTGTGGCCACGTCTCCCCCAGTCCCATGCCGTTTGTTACAGCCCCCAGCCCTGGCTCTGGGCTCTAGCGTAGCCCTCAGCGCCCTCTCTCAGCCCCGCGGGCAGTGGCAGGGTGGGTGATGCTGCTGAGCGTCAGCAGGGTTCTTGTGCTTTATCTACTCGTTTCCGTGTGCCAATACAGTAGAGCAGTGTGACAGCCTAACAGAGCTGACCAGCCTTGGCCAGACGTAGCCTATAACAGGGGCATCAGTACAGGCAGGCAGCACTTGGGCGTATTGTTCCGTCTACTCAGAACTTGATATGATAGAGGTCTATAAAATCATGAGTGGTGTGGAGAGGGCCGATAAAGAAAAGTTATTTATTAGTTCCCTAAATAGAAGAACTAGAGGACACCAAATGAAATTAATGGGGAGCAGGTTTAAAACTAATAAAAGAAAGTTCTTCACACAGCGTGTAGTCAACCTGTGGAACTCCTTGCCAGAGGAGGCTGTGAAGGCTAGGACTATAACAGAGTTTAAAGAGACGCTAGATAATTTCATGGAGGTTAGGTCCATAAAAGGCTATTAGCCAGGGGACAAAATGGTGTCCTTGGCCTCTGTTTGTCAGAGGCTGGAGAGGGATGGCAGGAGACAAATCGCTTGATCATTGTCTTCGGTCCACCCTCTCTGGGGCAGCTGGCACTGGCCACTGTCGGCAGACAGGATACTGAGCTAGATGGACCTGTGGTCTGACCCAGTACGGCCGTTCTTATGTTCTTACTCGCCTTGGCAAAATAAAAATACAAAGAGCCCCTCTTCCTGCAATGTCGTCCTCCCATGGTCTGGCAAATTCCCAAGTTTGGAACGGGCAGGCCCCCGGGTGCCGGTCTGCAGAGGTTCAGCTGGTACATTCCTCACCATGAGAGCTGCCATCCCGCTTTCACAGATCTGCTGGAGAAGCGTGTTCTCACCTCCCCCACTGGCCTGCTAGCCGCATTCCCGCATGCTCCACCTGTTGTAGGGTCTCTGAGCCCTGGTGACTGGAGTGGGCATGCGTGGGCCATTGTATCTAGCCCACTTCTAGGCAATCCCATGGAATGTAGCAGTCACGGAGCATGTAGATCCCTGGTGATTCCCCTCCAGACCCACCTCCGCAGCAGCACGTGCACATAGGCCAGTAGCCGTACGCCAGGAACCCTCCACTCCAGGTTTGGGGGGCCAGTCTACGCACACCCAGATGTGGCCATGCTGCATTGTAGGCTAGGGAAGCAGCGGCTCTGAACATGAGCTGGGGTCATGGTGGCTAATCAGCTGAACACAAGCTTGGCGTGTGGGGTGTACACGGGGCCGTCTGGAGCAGGAGCAGAGAGACTTTCTCTCTCCCGATGTTGCACTAATGTGACTGTGACCAGCTGTAGTGTCCACAGTGCGCGGGTTCAGAGAGGAGCCACGAGTCTAATCCTTCAGCCATCCTTCAGTCCAGTTAGCTGGATGTCCAAAAAGAGGGTTAATGGGGGGGCTTGATTGCAATCTACCTATTTGGGGAACAAAACTTTGGTATTGGGCACTTCAGCTTGGCAGAGAAAGGCCCAACGTGGTCCAGTGGCTGGCCGGTGGAGCCACACAAGTTCAGAGACTCCTCTGTACGTTTTTACAAGAAGGGTCGTCAGTCACTGGGACGGTTTGTCAAGAGCCATGATGGATTCTCCAGGACTGACCATTTTCTAAACTGTTTGCTCTAGGAGTAATCACAGAGCAGGTCTCTACCAGCATCAGACCAAATGATCACAGCAGCACTTCCTGGCCTTGGACTCTACAAAGCCATTGCCAGAATGGTCTGGAGACTGAACAGAATTCTCCCTCTGGTCTGTGATCTCAGGTTCCATTCACTTCCCAGGACAGCCCCTCGAAATAGGCTTTCAGCCCTCTCAGGATGTGTCCTGCTCCTAGACCAAGACCCACTGGTCTCCTGGAGCGTCCCTCCCGTTTCAGAGACGAGATCCGGCGCATGAGCTACAGAGCCAGGAAGCGCTTGGGACAGGCTGTGGTCGCTATGGGTGCGTCTACGCTGCACCGCAGGGCGAGATAAGATGCGCAGTGTGAGTGACATCTCCTCTCGATGCTGTTTGGAGATGTGGCACTGTCTACACAGCGCTTGGAAATAAATCGCCCTTCCGCAATGCCCCTGCTGCTGGTGGAGTGAGGGTTACAGGGTGTCGGAGGAGCGAGCCCGTTATTCGAAATAGCGGGTGCGCTGTGAAGAAGCGGGGTGCCTGTTACCCCGACATAGCGCCGCAGGGCAGGCGTAGCCTGTGGAGCGTTGAACTCATCCTGACCCCTCCTCTGCCAGTCAGCGACCACAGCCACTGCTCTGAGCACGAGAATTCAGTTCCTCCCAAAGACTGGCGCTATTCCATGCTGCCAGTGGGGCGCCACGCTGTCATTCCCAGTGCAAGCTGGAGTTCCAAAGGGCCGGACAATGGGGCAGGTGTGGTAGAAGCCCCTGCCCGCAGGCACTTGAGCAGTAGGGAGGCTGCTCGTCTCCCCTCTAACCGAACCTGGAATGTGCCTCCCGGGCGGCTCGCGTGTATCCAGGAGCACAGGTCGGTCGTGGCCCATGCTCATGAGCTTTGCGGTCCCCTTTCCCATAAGGGGCTGTGGGATAAAATAAACCCTAGTTCCTGTTTCGTTGGCGTCTCCTGCTGAGCATGGCTGTGTGCAGGATGGTGTGTTCCCTGACATACATTGGGGCCAAAGGTCACGGGAACTTCCTGATGAGAACTGGCACCTTGCTTCACTTATTGGCTCCCCAGTTCGTAGGCTGGATGTTTGGAGGGGCTAAGAGCCGAGATGCCGCATTCGAAATCCCAACGCTGTGCTCAGCATTCACGGCGCACGGGGTTTGCCCGCCATTGATGCGGTTTTATTATTTCTGATTGTCTCTTTCTTTCCAGGAAGTGGGGTACCAGCATGGGAAGACGGTATTTAACGTCTGGAGCAGGAGCAGCATCCTTGACAAGATGTTAAAAGACAGGCAGGAGGTCTGCAAATCCAAAACCTCCGGTGTAAGTGTTCAAAGTTCTCCTCTCATTCCATGCTGTCACCCAGCAGCCTGTGCACAGCTGACTCGGGTGTGGCTGTAAAACGTATTGCAAGGCTATCAAAGGCGCTCTGTCATGGACCCCTCCGGAGAACACAGGCATGTTCCTTAAAAGTGCACGGCAGGAAATTAAGAGACTAACCAAAATCTGTAGAATCCTGAGCTTTCGTGGGCAAAACCCACTTCCTCAGATGAACCAGAGAGGAGTGAGGTGGGTTTTGCCCACGAAAGATCAGGATTCTGTAGATTTTTGGTTGGTCTTTAAGGTGCCATGGGACCACTTGTTTTTAAAGTTAGACTCACACGGCTGTCCCTCTGAGATGCGGTACATTTCGTTAGTCTCAGATTTTTCGCATCCCGAGTTTGTATCATGTTCACACAAGCCTCAGTACCCTGCCATGCCTCCTGCCCACTGCCGATGGTTTGCTAGGCCGGTGACTTCTGTGAGCAGGCGCTGCTGCCGTGTTACAACCTCGCAGTCCATCAGACCCACGGCTCGCTGTCACGAACGGAGCTTTCAGCCGCTGTCCGAGACGCTGCATCGTGCCCTTACTGGGCTCATCTAGACCACGCCGAACAGGGGAAAGAGGATATGCAAATTCTGTGGGAATTTGCATATCTTCTTCTGATCACACTTTCGAAAGTGAAAGTATTTTAGATGCAGCTTTTTCATCAGAACCCTCCCCCCCTTTGTCAAAAAGCCGCGTAAACCTCATTTTTTGAGGAAAAGCGGCTGTTTGACAGGGGGGTTCCCAAAAAAACCGTGTCTAAACTACTTTCACTTTGGAAAGTGCAATTGGAAGAAGCTATTTAAATGCTCCTTCGAGTGTCCCCTGTGGCCTAGCTGAGCCCACTGTGTGTTCGCTCCACTGCCAAAGCGCCTGCGCGGCCTGTTTCAGAAAAGCCGTCGAAGACACTGAAGGGCTGCGGCGTTGTCACCGTGGCAGGGCGGGGCAGGTTTAAAGCCCCCGTGTGTGCTCACTGGCATAGTAGCCAATGCTGCGGCTGAGAACCGGGCCGCCCTGACATGCCAAAGGGTGCTCAGTGTGGCTGAGAAGCTGGAACTATGTTGAGATTTCCACGTAGAGCCAGAGACAGGCTTTGGGTGGCTCCTTGGGGAAGGGAATCCCTGGGTGCCAAGCTGGGGGGGGTCTCAGCACTTTTCTTGGGGGGCCCCCCAACATGCAGTTAAACCCCCATGGACCAGCAGTGGGGGGGCCTCACGGCAGGGACGTTGGGCATAGCTGTAGTTTGACTTTTATTGGGGGGTGCAGGGGCAAATCCTGCTGGAGAGTAAGGCTGTTTCTATGAAGGGCATTGTCTGTCGACCAGCCCGTATGAACGAAAATGACAGAAACGGGACGGCAGAATGCTAATGACGGGGCCACTAGCGTGTCACGCTGATGCCAGCGGTGGGCGTTAGGGCCCGCTCTGTGGGCCATGGGCAGCCTGCAGGCCCTAGGCTGGGCGCCCCTGTTCTAAGGGACCATTCCGCCTTGCCTGTCCCTTTCCCAGCCCCGGAAGGGAGCTCCTTGTCCCTTGGAAGATTGTGAAGTTGAACCAGTAAAATCCTTGCCTGGGCTTGCACTGCCGGTGCCGGTGTGTTGCACACCAGGTCCTGCAGTTCCGGCTGTCGATAAGGGTTTGCCAGCTCTTTGCTGACTTGCTCTCATGGTCTTCCCTGGGGAGCCCCCAATGAGCAGGCAGTGGTGAGGCAGAGGGGCCAGTGCGTCTCCTGGGGCTGCTCTCCTGGTGTGCTGGGAGCGGAGGGTGAAGGGACATGGCCACAGCAGCCCTTCCATGCGCCAGAGGAGCGGCCAGATTCGAACTGCGCTTGGGGCTCTCCCCGTCTCTGGCTCTGTCCCACTTTATTCTGGGAGTAATGGCCGGTGCTCAGTGGCCTTCGGGGGCGCTCCCCGTTGAACCCCTCGGGTCCCAGCCTGTGGGGAAAGGGTTCCTGCAACCCGAGCCCACCTCTCCCAAAACGGAGAGCTGTTACTATGGGAATGAGCTGCTTTTCCATGGCAACCCTCACCCAGAGTTTGTGTGTGACGTGTAACCCGACGTCGGCGAGTTGTTGCAGTTGACTGATACCCAGGTGCTTGGCTTGCATTGCAGATTGTCACCTGCCCTAGCACCTCCTTCACTGATTTGGCAGAAATCGTGTCCAGAATCGAGCCGGTAAAGGCAGCTCTGGTGGACGGTGAGTGGGCTCCTCGGGACAGTCACGCGACGGCTGACAGGCTTTTTGGGTGACGACTGCTGCTGCAATACAGTGTCCATGGTGCCACCCGCCTGCTTCTCTCTCCTCCGTAGCCAGCCAAGAATACTCTCAAGTCACCCCAGGGCTGCCTCCTTCTCTGGCCATCAGCCCAGACTGAGCGCCTCTCGGGCTTTATAGCCTGCTGCCAAGCCGAGCATGCCCAGCAGAGTGGGAAGGGGCGTGGCCTCTCCTGCTAACGGGTTAACCCCTGGTGTACCAGTGCAGGGCTGATTCACCTGCTCACAGGGCCGCTTAATATTACTGAAGTTGCACCACTGATCCCCCAGTATTTAAGCAGTAAAAGTGTGGGGGGGATGGCTCAGTGGTCTGAGCACTGGCCTGCTAAACCCAGAGTTGGGAGCTCAATCCTTGAGGGGCCATTTAGGGAGCTGGGGCAAATCTGTCAGGGATGGTGCTTGGGCCTGTCATGAGGGCAGGGGACTGGACTGGATGACTCTTGAGGGCCCTTCCAGCTCTAGGAGATGGTCTGTCTCCACATATATTAAAATGGGGCGTAATCTTTATACTGAGAGTCTGAAACCCCGTAGGACATGTAATTATTGGGCATGTGCGGCAGCCTCAGGATCTGGCTATTTAAAAAAAAAAAATGTAATGTAAATATCTCAAAAGTACCAGGCCGTATGAGACTGCGGCCGCCTGCAGATTCCCGCGGAGCGGCGCCGGAGGGAGCGCGGTATCGCCTGCACCTGTGGAGCTATCGGAGAGAGACAGACCCCTCGCAGGGTTGCCGGGATGGGCCCTGGTCTCCGAGAGCAGCCGCGTGATCTTCTCACCGTCGGCCTTGTCGTTCCCTGCCACTCCTGTCATGTTGCCCCGTGTACCGTTCGGATTGCTCGCTCTTTGGGGCAGGGACCAGACCTTCCCATTGACCCTCTGGGGCACCGCTGCCGAGTGCAGCAGGACTGACCGCATCAGGCCAGCCCGGCAGGCCGTGTGTACGCAAGCTGGTCCACAGCCCCGAGCCCAGTGCTCTGAGCGGGTAAAGCACTTCACCCGATGGGCTCTGTTCCTGCTCCTCACCTGTGCGAATCCGTGCAGCGCACGGTAGCGAGCTCACAGCTGTGCAAGCCGCTTGTCTAGAGCCGTCTCCAGCTGCTTGGAGTGAGCGTGAACCAGGAAGTTGTGAACCTCTGGGACTAGGATCCTGTGTGGTGCGTTACAGATCCAGTGAGCTCCGTTCCAGCGTCTCCTCGCCAGGCTCATCTCGAGAGCTCCTTGTAATCGGAGCCATTCTCTTTGATAAAAGCTGCACCCGTTCCTCTGAACTCTTCAGGGAGAAGTAATGGCCACGTGTTTTCAATCCCTTTTCTGCCAGCTTGTTACAGCCATTGTGAGAGACTAGAACGCCGGGAACAGGCTGTCCTGTCAGCTGCAGAACGCAGCAGATGCTATTGACTGTGCCAGCCGAGCAGCACTTCAGTCATCAGCTAATTCGTTTTACGTACACGATTGTTCCTCAGTACCCCACTGGAAGAGAGCTTCTTCTTCGCCCTCGTGTGAGGCTGGGTGGCCCTTCAGTACGGTCCAGCGCTGCCTGCCTGGCCCGGGGCTGGGCGTACCGTGGGCCCCCCTTGCACTGCTGCCGTGCCCCCCACAGAGGTGTCTGCATTTCCAGTTGGGCAGGATCGGCCTGTGCTAAATCTTTGCTCCCTGCCAGCAGTGGAGGCCCAGGCACTGCTGATCTGCTGTCTGGCACGGATCATGTAGCCCAGGAATTGGGAGCGTTTCACTGGGCCCCCCGCCTGCCGGGCGTCCTCGTACTGGGCTGAGCTCACCGCAAGCAGCAAGGTCCCGTGCGGGCTCAGGGCTCGCTTTGCACTGTGTTCGGTACGAGGCTGCAGCCTTCATGCCAGGTGTTCCCCCATCCCCATGGGCGGGGGGGGGAGAGGGGGGGGCTCAGGGCA